AGACTTACAGATGTGTCTTCAGTGGCGGGTTCGTGCCTAATAACGGCAGTATTGGAGAAACCGGCGCGGATCCCAGCGACGCGTGCCGGTGAGACCGATTTTCTTAAACGGACTTAAAAGAGGGGCCCCCCTGCCTGCAATCTCTTAAATGACAATTTGAGCCCCCAAACCTCCTCATTTCTTAAAAGGTCTTAAAACAATCCGGCCCTCAGAGCCCTAGGGGTACCCTAAGGCAAGAAGAGCTCGATGGGGAGCGAGAATCGCCAAAGGTGCTCACGGAGGTGTCGGAAGTCCGCCATGATTCGGTCAGTTCCCCCCAGGTTTGACTGCGTAGGTCGCGGGGCTCGTTGAGTCCTCGCAGCCTTTGTGCGCCTCGGTCTGCTTCGCGTCGGATGTCCTCGCAGCTGCCTCTGGAAGGCACCGAGATGTACCTTTTTCGCGCAATGGTCAAATCAAGGTTTTGTAACGCGAGCTGTGCCACAGTGAAATGGCACTAGCCTAGAGCTGTTTAACGTTGGGAGCTGAACAGTCTTGCTAGTGTTAACAGTAACAACAGAACAACAGTGGGGCTCCCCAACAACAGTAGCTAACGTTAGGCCGGCTGAACAACAATAAGGAAGGCCTGGCAGTGACCCACGACGATCTCCAGCTTCCAGTGTGCGGGTAATACCCGAAAATACCCGAAAAACCCCAGGTTTGGCATTTTCGGGTTTTACCCGGGTTTTTTGGCATTTTCTGCTTGCTGACCGCTGAACAACAGTAACAACAGTAACAAACAGTAACAGCATGAGCTGGGGTGAACACTTGAACAACGTTAAGGATTTCAGCCAACACTAGCGCAACTGTTAGGCCCAAAGTTAATGTTAAACAGCTCTAATTGGGGTGGGGGCCCCAAATAAATAAATAAAAACGGACACCTCTACTGTGAGATGGGTAAAAAGGAACAGGCCCCCGCCCTTGCGATCTTTGTGCAGGGTTCTTTGTGGGCCCCAACTCGTGGTAGGCCACTAGTTTATCGTGTGGGGCACTCACAGGATACCTCTCCTGAGTCCCTCTCATGTGCCCTCGCGCACATCGCATGCGGTCTTCACTCAGCCTCCGCTGCTGTGAACACCAAACTTGCACTTCAGCTGGTGCGCGCTTTCGCCGCCTACTTTCGTGTGCTTATCACAGTAGCCCGAGGGAGGGGGGGGGGCGGGCCTCACCCAGGGCTCACCGGGGCCCGGCCGTCCCCGCCCCCTCCCTCACCTGCCCCACCCCGGGGCCTCACTCGCGATGCGCCGTCCCGGGGGGGTAGCTCGCTGCCCGACCCCAGGGCACCCCACACACGGCGCTTACGGGCGGGCCACGCGCACGCGGCCCCGTACGCCTACCGCGCGCCCCCGGCCCACCAGCGCCACGCCCCGAGGCGAGGGAGAGCGGCCCGTGCGGCACCACCGCTCACACAGAACAACACAAACTACAAATCAACTAAACGGGTGACCCCACTCTACTCTGCACAGACAGTCCGCACTGCTCCAAACGCACATCTCTACCATCTACCGATGCGGACGCAAAAAGCGCGCCTCGGCGAGACGGATCGCGTCACTTTGCCTGGGCCTGCTGGAATCGCCGCACGCCAGCGCTGCGTGATGATCTGGTCCCAGTTGTCCATAGGCTCGGTTGTGTCGTCTGTGTATCTACACGAGTAGATCCGGGTGTGTTTCGCGCGCGCGCCTAAGTTGTGACCACAAATCCCGCCTAAAAAATGAAAAAGCAAACCCACGCTCCGTACGAAAGTACGAAAGAGCTGAATGGGCGGGTCGGATGCCGGGGGGCGGGGTGGGGGGGGGGCGGGGGGGGGGGGGTTGCTTGCCATACTCCAGTACAACGAGGAAGAGCTTGTACCCCTATTGGGCTAGTACGGGTTGGAGGTGGCCCCCACCCTCCCTGGGGTCCCTCAAAGCACAAGGGGACTGCCGAGAAAAACGCCCTCTCCTTGCCCCGTGCAAAACACCCCCTCCCTTGCTTTTTAACCCAGGGAACGCATTCTGGGATGGCCACGCCTTTCCTATCTAAA